AGATGATTGGATACGTGGAATGGTAAGGTATAGATGAATAGCAGTATAATGGATGGATGGATGATGAATTGACAGATAGATGGATGGAATGGATGATGGAATGGATGGTAGATGGATGGATGATGAATGATAGATGATGGATGGATGGATGATGGATGGATGATGGATGGATGGATGATAGATGATGAATGGATGGATGATGGATGGATGGAAGGGAGGAAGGGGGATAGATGGAATGAAGGATGGGTAGATGGATGGTGGGTAGAAGGAAGGGAGGGAGGGAGGGAGGGTAGAATAAAGGGTGGCTGGAAGAATAGATGGAAGGGAAGGTGGATGGATGGAAGGGTGGGTGGGTGAATCGGTGAATGGATAGAAAGCCTTATAATGAACCCTCCCCTTTAAGCCCACTCCTGCCTGACTTTCTGGAGAACTTTGTTGCTGTTTCACTCTGTGTTAGGTCCAAGGGGTGCAGAGTTGAATAACAGCCTTCTCTGCTTGTCGGTGCCCGATGGTCTGGTGGGGAGAGCGAGGAGGACAGCTGCCCTCTCAGGCCAGCGCCCCCCCCCAACGGCCCTGCCGGCCGCCGCCTCGCAGCCGGGCAGACAGATGCTGGGGGTGAGCTCTGCGCAGGGCGCGCGCACAGGGTTTCAGGCGGCTCTTACACGCGGTGGGGGCCGTCCGGGGCCCCAGATGTTTTACGTTTGTGGCTGAGAACTCAGCCCATGTCAGCAGACACGGCTGGGGTCAGGGTGACATCTGGGGGGCGGGGGCCCGGAGACTCTCGGTCAAGAAGACCGACGAACCCGCCGCTTGCTGCTGCCCGGCCCCCGCGCGCCTGTGAGGCAGACCCCGGAGCCCCCGCTGCTGGGGGCGGGCCTGCCATTTCAGCTTTCCGCGGATGGCACCGCATTTCCCCTTGGAGGGCTGGTTCAGCTCATGGATCAAAACCTCCTGTAATTATTTCCTCCCACTGAGGAAGGCTTCCATTAGCTTTCTCTAGCGCCCCCCCCCCATTAATTATCTAATTACAACCACATTCTCCGAGAGAGAGCAGCCTTTGACTTTCTGCCCAGGACCACTTAAAAAGGCTTACATGTTTGGAGCGCTCTGAGCTTGAGGGAAAAAGCAGCAGCGCGTGTGGGTTCCACGCACAGGAGTTTCAGGGAAAATGTGTCTTAGCCTTTTTCAGAGCTTTGTCTCCACTCAGCAGAGGTTTCTGTGTCCCCTGAGCAACCTGGCTTCTGTGTGGAGCTTCGGGTTCCACAGGGAGGAGCAGGGGCGTGGGAGGACGAGGCAGAGTGCTGTCAGGTCCCCCTGACACGTACGTGCTCACACACGCGCACACAGATGCCTGCACACGCGTGCATGCGCACACACATGCGCACTGTGGGGACATCACCCATCACCTTATCAGAAACCCTTGCACATTTCTGTGCCTTTACACATCCTGGTCCTAGGACCTGGCTGCCTTTTCCTGGCCGCCCCTTCCAGTAGGAAGTTCCCGGTGGGGACCCATCGCGCAGCCTTCTCCTTGGTGAAGCCATTTCTGCCCCACCCCGCCCCCCAGTCCCTGTTGCAGACCCCATTTGTCCGCCGTCTCAGCACTTAGGTCCATGGCCAGCAGAGCCTTTCCAGTGGCCGCCTCCCCCACCCAGGGCGGTGCATCCAGAGGGTGGGGGCCTTGTCCTCACCCCATCAGGTCCCCACTGAGGCCAGCATGGTCCCCTGCACAGAGAGGGCTCTCAAGGGCTTCTCAACAAGCGGACTGGCCTCCCGTGGGATCTGGAGGCTACCAGGTTATTCACGTTAGTTCGCCAGATGTGGTTGGGAGTGCTGTGTGCACCAGACCCTGGGACAGGCACTTAAAATCCCGAGGGAAAGGGGACCCAAGGTGCTCACAGGCCAGGCTTGAGAAGTCCCGAACGAAGTTCAGGGTCTCCTGGGGAGGATGACGCCGTAAACTTGGGATTGGATACAGGCTGTAGGACTGGATCCTGAGGAACTGAGCGGCCAGTAGCCAGTGGTCCCAAGACAGGAGGTGACAGGCCAGACGCTGCCCCAGCCATCAGCTGCCACTTTGGAGCGAGGTGTGGGGCCCACTGTCCTCACCCCCCACCACCTTCAGCATCTATGTGTGGATACTTTCCAGCATGTGCTGAGGTCCTTGGCCAAACGCTCACGCCCGGAATTACTTTCCCGCCCCCCCGCCCGCCCCCATTGTCCCCACTGCCGTGACTTACGTGCGACCTTGGTTTACAGCAGATGAGTCACTCACCCCGTAGTCTGGTGATCAGACACCCTGGCCCCGACACGTCTCTCCCTAGCAAACCTGTGGGCATGGACGGCACCAGGGGAGATCGGGGGACCCGCCTGCTGGATCGCACTGGCAGGTGCCCCTCTCCCTGGCCCATCATGCTCTGACTTGCCGTCTCCGGTCCAAAAACCCTCCCTCTCGGCAACAGATGTCTCTCACCGACCAAACCTTCATCGTGGGAAGGCAGGCGTGTTTCTGGCAGACCGTGGCTTTTTTCGGTGGAATCGGCTCCTGGTGCCTCACGGGCTGGTCCTGAGGGAGGTGGCGGAGGCCTTCTCTCACCGAGACCCAGGACGACGGCGGGCTG